GACTCGATGGCACTTAACAACAACAACAACAACAATGACATAGTATTACTATTATTTATTTTTACCTTGATGTGTTGTATATATGTTTGTTTTTAGAAAGTTTGAAGAAATAGATGTTATATGGGTCAAATCCTGTGGAATTCATCCCAAAATTAAATTGCTTTGACATTTTCAAGGGATTTGATCTTATCAATTTATGATATATTAATAGGACAGTCATCCATGAAAATCTCACACAAATACATGCTACATGCTTTAGAAGAATTTTAGGTTCTGGCTCAGTTGCTTGCTGGGATTGAAATCATCCTTTGATATTGGGTCAGTGAATCAAGACTTTAGAGTCTATTAATTTTCTAAAGGCATCCTTTACATCTTTGTTCCTTAGACTATAGATGAGTGGGTTCAACATGGGGTTGACCACTGTGTAGAACACAGAGGCCACTTTGACCGTTTGCTGAGAGTTTTTCAAGTTAGGCACACAGTAGAGGGAGAGGATGGTCCCGTGAAAGATGGTGATGGCCGTCAGATGGGAAGCACAGGTGGAGAAAGTTTTGCGACGGCCACTGGCAGAACGTATTTTTAGTACAGTAACAAAAATAAAAGCATACGAAGTGAGGATGATCAGTAACGTACTCACCTCATTGAAGGTGGCGAACCCAAACAGCAGAAGGTTTGGAATGCGTATATCAGAGGTAGAGACAGCTATGAGAGCAGTGTACTCACAGAAAAAGTGGTTGATTACATTATGTCCAGAGAAGTTTAAAAGGAGAGAATAGCAAAGGAGTACCAAGGGGCCCAACATCCCCCACAGATAAGAGCCAGCCACCAGCATGGCACAGAGCCTTTGTGACATGGCCACTGTGTAAAGCAGAGGGTTGCAGATGGCCACAAAACGGTCATAGGCCATCACTGCCAGCAGGAAGGATTCAGTCACCACGGCAGTGCAGGACAGGAAGTACTGCAGCATACAGCTAAAGTAGAAGATGCTTTTGTCAACCATTACCAAGTTTTCCAGCAGCTTTGGAGTAATGATGGAGGAGTAGCAAAAATCAACAAAGGAAAGGTGACTGAGGAAAAAGTACATGGGAGTGTGGAATTTGGGGTTAATCTTGATGATTATGATCATCCCGAGATTTCCTATCACAGTGCTAATGTACATGATCAGAAACACAAGGAACAGAGGAATCCGAAGCTCTGGGTAATCTGTGAAACCTAAGAGGGCAAAGGTCGTCTCCACACTCAGGTTTCCTCCAGCCATCACCACGTGTTCTTTGAAGGGAAGGGAGTAGGGGCTGAACTATGTTCCTGGCAAAAGAGAAGAGTTATGAGGGTGAATGAGAAATGTATTGATTCGGTATGATAGAGAAAAGAAAATGAGAATAACATTTATCGGTACGAGAAAAACATGCCTCATCCAATAACTTCTATGCGTATATCAAGCCACACTGATGTTTAAAATATTTATGCCTTTCCATTGCCCTTTGGGTATCCATATAAATATTTATGCTATGGAACTGTATAGGAGTTATATTTGCACATATACTAACTTTATACGTGAGTACACATATTAGTAACATAAAACGTACATAACAGATACTGAGCAAATTTTTGCACATGCATAAATTACCTAAGTTAGTGAAATTCTGTGGAAAAAAATGTAAAATGTTTGCTTCAAAGAACAAGATATATTGCTGCTGTATTTTCAATAGCTATTCAAATCAATTAAAGTATTTAAGGGACTATATTTCTATTCTAAAGAGAATGTAAGATATTAGAGAGCCCAGGAAAAAAGCCGAGTGATCCAATTAGCACGTTTATTCCACATAGACTACTTCTTCTGTTGAATAGTTGCTGAAAGATTGAAGCTAAGGGAGGCAATGACTTCCTTTCAAACTGAGTGGAGTGTCTACTTCATTAGATTTTGTGACTTAAGGCTTAGCTTATTATCC